TTTTTTTTTTTTTTTTTTTTTTCTTTTTTTTTTTTTTTTTTTAAACCTGCTGGAAGGGAAAACCCATAGCGCCCATTATACAGGCCAAAAGAAACAAACACCGGTCAAATAATAGTGACAACCTCGAGCAAGTGAAATGAAGATGAGAAGTTTTGAGCGAACACAGGCCGCAGGCCCCGCGCGGGCTCATCCCCCCCGGGCTGGCGGAGCAGAGCCAGGAGGCTCCGGGAGAACCGAAACAGCCCCGGCCCCCCTGCTGGAGTCAGCCCCAAGCCCCCCCTTGTGCTCTCCGCCCCCAGCCTGGGGCTCCCACACGCACCCCACTACAGCACGTCAGCGCCGATGGCAGAGGCCGCAGCTCCGTTAATTAAAGCCCACGACGAGTAAATTAAATCTCAGTAGAGAACAACTGGGAGAACCAAAGGGCGGCCCCCGAGGAAGGCGGCTCCCGGCCCGAGGGCAGGGCGGAGGCTGCCAGGGCAGGGACCCCCTTCGCCATCGTTCCCGTGCGCAGGAACGGCCCCGGCCTCGCAGCCGAGGGATTTCGGCCACTTCCCTGACCCAGCAGAGGTGCGGTCAACCCCCGCCTTGATTTCAGATACAACGCCGGGGGAGGCAGCGGCCGCCTCTCCCTCCAGCCCCGCTCGCAGCCCCGCGCGAGGGCACAACCTGCCGCCCCCAAACCGAGTGTGAAGAACTTGTCCCTCTCCCGCACCGTCCCGCCCGAGGGCTCGCATGCGTTACAAACATTAACGAAGCCTCACAACAGCCCTGTGAGGTAGGTCACTGTCTTCGCTTGACAGGGGATCCAAGGCAAAGCTGGGATTAAACTTCAGGTTTCTCACTTAACGCTGTGCCTGTCAACAATCCTCCTTCCACAGAAATATGGTCCCTGTTCGTAGAAAACAAAGAATTTTGTGCCTATGCTCCTGGCTTCCCGCAGGAGAACACGCTCACAGGCAGACTGGCATCTACAATCACGTCCTGTGTTGCACAAGTTACAGGGATCCGGCCTCCTTGGCATAGGGAGAACAAGAAATAATAATAATAATAATAAAAAAAAATAATAACGCAAGAGGACAAAAAGTACAGGCAGATTAGGAACGACAAGTCACATCTCACACTCATAACGCCACGACTGCGCTCGCGCTGTGGGGTGGCAGGGCCCCGCTGCGAGGCTCGCAGATCCCGCGTGGAATGTCGCGTCCTTCTGGCGCCTTCGGGGCTTCCTCCCCTCTGCCGTCCTCAGAGAGCGAAGATGACGACGGTGACGATCACCACCCTGCACCCGAGCTGCCGGATCCACGCTCTTGCCCGGCGCCGGCCCCCGGAGCAGGCACAGCCGCAAGCCGAGACGTCCGTCCTCCTCGTGAGCCGGGAGTAGCTCTGGCACCAGAGCCGCCCCGGCCCGGCCCTGTGGGGAAGGGGCCAAGGACAGCCCGCAGCGGCCGCGTCCTTGCTTTCCAGTTCAGGGACTGACGCTGTTAAGAGCGGAGGAGGTGGGCGTCCACGAAGCTGGCGTCAGGGTCCGTCGGCACTCCCAGTCCGTTCCAGGCGGTGCTGCGCTGGTTATTCCTAGGCGGTGACCATGCACGGAGCCGACAGCAGGAGATTCAGACAACATTAATCTTCTAGGATGGAGAGAGATGACTTCACAAGGGATAAATAGAACTTTATTTAAATAAACATTTGTGAACATCTTTATACAAATTACAAGTCCCCACACAATCCTCCAGCTCTGCCTAAGCGCCAAAGCTGCCGGGAGGGCCTTTGAGCAGATCCACCAGGATGTCGAGCAGCTGGCTGTGCTGGTGGTGCAGGTCCCCAGGGATGGCTGCCATCTCATAGCACAGGCACGTCTCCACCATCTTGGAGAGCGACACACGGAAATCACGCAGGAGGCGGATGGTGTAGGAGTCTCCCTCCAGCACCAGGAGATCACTGTCTGTCAGGGAGACTGTTGCTCGCCAGCCAT